GAGAACCATTTCGTTTTTCCTTTTTGTGTAGTTCCTTCAAACCGTCTCCCCATGATACTAGTTTGTTTAGGTTTAAGAAACTGTCCACTTAGCCGACTGATGCTAGTTACGCCTTTTTTGTATTCTTGCAGGAAATCCCTCCAATGGAAAAGGAACTCATGTGTGGCGATACGGGAGTTGGAGCAATGGCAACCACACAAATGATTGCGACCGTAGTTGCTACCATCGTTAGAAATCGGTTTGCAGTATATACACCCTGTGATTCTGATCCTGTGGAATAGCTTTTTTGTAACAGAGTTACTATACTATTGTATGTTGTTTTATAAATTTAGTGCACAGTACCGGTTGTAGACTTTGTTATACCTCGTCTGATCTTCCAATAAATTTTAATCGAAATTGACCAGTGCTTTGGATTATATGTGATGCACATTATACACAGTTTTCTTCTCAAAGATTACTAAAAGTCTAGTTTTTCGTTATGAGTGTAGTACGGACTATTGTTTTGTGCATGGAATTCTAAAAATACTTTAGGAGTCTACTGTAGGGTTTCATAGTTTATTAGTGTAGTATGTGGATTTTCGGATATGGATCGCTGCTATGGAATCCGAATTTCCCTTTTGTACAGGTATGTCTCGAGCTTACATAAGGAATTTTGAAGATGAAAATTACTCCAAGCCCGTCTAGGACGCCATTAGGCCGCCAACATGCTTTGCGATTCAGAAGAGTAGGAGAATTAAGTGCGCCAAAGGAGTAGGTGGAGGTCGTTCGGTCCTGGTATCCTCTCGAATCACATGATCAGTACCTATGCTTTCCTTTGCGCGCATTCTCCTATTCTCCGAGCGCATTCTCCTATTCTCCGACGGGAGAAGAACAATACAAGCATAGTTTGCCGCGCCGTCGCGCCCAGCTCATCATGCGTGGCGGTGCGCAGCAATGTACAGTGTTCCTCCATGTGCATCGGCTCGTCGATTCGATCAGTGAAACTCATGAGAATTCAAGTAAAGGCGGAACTCCATCCCAAGAGATATTGATATTTTCCGTCTATTCGCCCCACGAATTCAAATAGGGCGAGAAGAACGACTCGTCTCTGCTCGTGCGCGACGTCCCTCGCCGTCTTTAGCGTAGCATATAAGGGTGCTATGTTGGTTCAAATCCCTTTTCTCTAATCTCCGACACTCCTGCAGCCGGCGCGATCGATACACGTCCATCCTGGTGCTCTTTCTTCCAGAGCATCGATTCTCCTATTATCCTAAAGTGCCAGATCAATAAAAAATACTTCCACTGGGCACGCATTCTACGATTCTTCTCTTCTATTGTGTCGCAACGTATGAACCGCGTTCACACACTGCTAATGTCTAGGCGATGGCCCTTAGAGTGGCGTTCATACTGCGCCGTTCATACTTTGCGATCGAATTAGATAGAATTGCTCAATAGGGCCGCGCGATCACTGCGCGATTTTCAGTTCGCGCGTCAATGGACGCGCCTCGTACGCTAGTGTGCCATGGTCAGTGCAATTCTCATAGCCCTTTGGCTTCTTTTTGACAATTCCGCCAATGGCCGATATGCTCGAATCCGGCGGTTTTAGAATACTTCTCAAGTTGCGTCGAGCCGACCCCCCCCCCACATTTTTCTCCTCCTGCCTGCTTCTTACCTTTACTTCTCTTTCGCTGCTTCTTATTTCGCTGCCTTTACGAGCCAGACCAGAAAACACCTCTAGACCCTCGCAATGGGAAAATATGCAGTTGACAAAGTTTGCAACAAAATTGCGATCTCTCTTGATCGATCCACATGCATTCTTTTTGGTGGGCATGTTTGCGCGGGGATTCCCTGCTTGTCATTTAGTTCCTACATTCGCAACGCATGAGACCGCCTTATGCTCAGTTATTTTGGATGAAGCACGGTTTTACGGTTAGCTGACTTTGCCATTTTATGAGTTCATACTTTGCAGCAACTTCCTGGTGTTGTTCCTGGTTATGCGCGAAGGTTTTGGCAGCTAAGTCCAGATCATCGTGGAACTCCTGAGAAGGTATGAACTTAATATTCTAGTTAAAACTGTGGATGAACGTGGAGCCGCAAGTAGCAGTCCAGTGTCTGCAATAAGTGATGTAGATAAATTTATCTGAGGGTTCGGGCAAATTTTTGTCGATCATAGACGTGAATCTTTGATCTGCCTTTAGATCAGAGTTGCTGCAACAAGAGGTTTTTGTCGAGAGTAGGAACGCCTTTCCTTCTGAGAAGCACGGCATTGTCCCTTTGAACTTAGCATTGGCGCTTCATAATGCCAAAGTTTTGTTCCAAACCTTCTCGACATTTTGAACTCTGGAAACTGGCAAATAATTTGGAGTAGTCCGGCGACAAGGTCCGGAGAGGAACGGAGAGGGGGGGGGGAAAAAATTTGCCTCTTTGCTGCTTTTCATCGGCATGTTGAGCGCTCTAAGAGTCTGTGTTCGGTTTGTACATGTTGCTAGAGGCTTGCTTCGCAGCCTCACAAGAGTTCTATAGCTTTCTACCATGGGGTGAGCTTGTGAGCCTTGGAATCTGATGAAGCAATCGAATGTGGCAAAAAGCCCGTCGCGATGCGCGCAAAAACCGTGTGTGTGCAAACTAGCATTTTTCAGCCTGGCCGTACCGTCACTCTGGTACCCGATGAGAAAGTTGGTTTTCCATCTTTTATACACATTATTTTCGAAGAGTAGTTGAATGTATGCAATTTGAATAGTGTTATTTTCAAGTCTGTCTGCTGGGGAATAGCTTTCGAAGTTGCCGAAGAGGATGTGGCCTCAACTCGGAAGTATCTGGATTTTCGAGAGAAAGCTGGATATTCGGTCGGTGGTGTTTTGGTTTTCTTTCGTTGTTGTGGAACTCAGAGTCAGGGTACAGCATCGTGATGTGTGAGGTGGTGACCCCCCCCCTCGGAGAGAGGATGTCGTGCGACCCCCCACTCCTGAATGAGGGTCTCGGTACGACCCCCCCCCCTTCCCCAACACCTACCTACAAATTTCCCCCATTTTCCCCCCGTTTTTTTACCCGAGGCTTTTCTATCGAGCGGAAGGAAGGGGGTATATAGCCAGTGTGAAACGGTAGAATTTCTCCAACTTCCTACCACTTTTTCCAAATTTCCCGAAAATTTTCCTACTTTTTCCCTAAAATTTTGCTGTCGAGCCGGGGGGGGGGGGGTATATAGTGCACATGAAACAGGGAAAATCACGCAAAAGTCAACAACCGGAAAACCAACGCGACAAATTTCTCTCAAAGGCACATACGACCCCTCTCCCAACGACCAAATACGACCCCCTCTGAAAAAGTATGATCCCCCGTTCACACACGTTCATGCGTTTCACACAACGATGCTGTATGCTGGAAACTCTTGCTCTCACTTTATAAAGCCATATGCTTTACTGCAAGTTGTTTTAAATGAGGCATAATTTTAGCTGGTGACTGTTATGTTCAAACCAGATGATGCCTCCATAGAACCCTTTGCGGTGGAGGTGAGAGCTCTTTTTATTTACTGACTAATAATTTTGAGGTGTTTAAACGATTTGTTGCTTTCATTAGAGTTAAGTTAAAACACGTTTTTG